ATTACCCTTATGGGTGTCACCACAAGAAGCTTTTTTTTGGAAGATGGCAAGAAGTATCTAAATGGTTGAGATATCGAGACATTGTGAATAAAACAAGGAGTGGATTTTATGAATTAAAGTCTCTAGAAAATCTGAAAGAATTACCGGTAGATAAAAATCTACATTGGTTTCCATACAAACAGTTAATGGACAGATTCAAAGCAGATTATAAAAAACTGGGAGTTGTGGAGCATCTTTTGTGAACTGCCTTGGGTCCAGTTTGGAAGTAAGGCAACGTATAAATAAATATATAGGAGGAAGGGAAGAGGAGGAGAAAGGGGGATGTGACAGAATGTGTCCTGCATCTGAAGAAGTGGGTGTATACCCATGAAAGCTCGTGCTAAAATAAAAACCAGTTAATACCTGCGGTGTGAGGTTTCTATGTGCACAACATTTCTTGTCCTTGTCAGGTTATTTGTCAGTCTAGCTTACCGATGATTGGTAGCTATAGCGGGATCTCCAGCTGAGAAAATGTGTCCCAACAGCGATTTTACCTGATCCTTTCAATATATATATTTTTAAAAACTTTGCAAATGTCAGAAATTGAACCCAGGACCATCGATCGGCACATAGTGTACATTGCATGAGGGGTAATGCAAAACAGTGATTAGGATGTTGGATCGGGTCTTGGGAGGTCAAGATTGGAGCCCACATTGTGCCACAAAATTTACTGGGGTAACTTTGGGGTAACTCTTAGGATGTTGAAAAGCTGGAGCGTGTCCAGAAGAAGGCAACCAAAATGGTGAAGGGTTTGAAAGCCATGCCTTAGGAGGAGAGACCTAGGGAACTGGGTATGTTTAGCCTGGAGAAGAGACGGATAAGAGGGGATATGATAGCCCTCTTTAAATATTTGAAGGGATGTCATATCGAGGAGGGAACAAGCTTGTTTTCTGCTGCTCCAGAGAATAGGACATGGAGCAATGGATTCAGACTACAGGAAAAGAGATTCAACCTAAACATTAGGAGGAACTTCCTAACAGTAAGAGACGTTCAGGAGTGGAAGATGCCTCCTCAGATTATGGTAGCATCTCCTTTTTTTGGAGGTTTTTAAACAGGCTGGATGGCCATCTTTTAGGGGTGCTTTGATTGTGAGTTCTTGCATGGCAGAAGG